CCTCCCTCTTCACGCCTGCCCTCGCGCCCACGTCCCGCTTGGACCCCGCCAGGCCCAGGACTCGCCGTTTGGCTTCTCACACGCAGGTCAAGCCTGGCGAGCTGGGGAACATCTCGCTGGCCAGAGAGTTAAAGGAGCTGCCTGAGCCCGGAGCTGTTGGTTGGTCTCAGGCACTTGGTTTGACCACTCTTGATCCAGGTTTTGGTTTTTTTTTTTCCTGTGGCCCAGTTGTCTCCTTTCATCAGATGTTGTCCTGTCGTTGTACGTTCTGCTCTTTTGTTTTGGGGGTTTTTAAGGGTTGGAAAAAAGAGCCTGGCTCCACTGTGTCCTGTGCAAAGAACTGCAGCATCTTTTCCCCATCGTCCTGTACGTGTCCCTTTTCTCCTTCCTCTCCAGCTCCTGAAGCTGTTGCCTTATTTGTGTGAGAAGGGAGTTGCTGTTGGTGCTGGCAGGAGACACTGAAGTTTGCAGTTACCAGATTGCTGCTCTGGAGCGTGGCTTTTCTCAACAGCCAGCTCTTTGGCAATGCACCTCTCTCCGTGGGTCCTCCCAGCTGCCCACTGTCTTGTTCCGCTCTGGTTTCATTTGCTCCTGATTTCCGTCCTCCTTCCGTGGGGAAGTGTTCCAGCTGGGGTGGTGTTGGCAGTGACTGACTTTCCGAGACCTGCTCAGCAAGTCAGGAGTTCAGAACAGATCAACTCCCATCGCTGTCTGGGATTATAAATATTTCATTTCACCTTTGCAGAGTCTCTCAGAGAAGGGAGATCTCTTTCCTTGTCTGCTGTTGCTGCCCCCTCCCTGTAAGAGGCTCTTCTGAGGTGGCACCCTCTGTGTCACTGCTCTGCGTTTCTTGGTGTCTGTAGGCACTTTGTCCTTGTCCTGATCCAACACTGAGAGCCTGGGACGTCTTCCCGGCTGGGGTCAGAGCCCGGGGAACGCCGTGTCCTCAGAGCAGGACGAGATGGTGCTTTCTGGAGGCAACAGAAGCGTCACGAGAGGAGCTGGTGTACCTTCAGGCTGCCGCACCGGAGGGAGACTCGGTGCTGGTGACCAACAGGCAGGATCTGCCCCTGAGTGCTGAGCAGGGCTGTCTGTGCACAAAAAAAGCCGCTTGGGATGGTGTTGGCAGCTGCCGCGAGGGTGAAACGGGCCGTGGAAGCCAGTTGCAGCCAGTTGCTGCTTCAGCAGGTGCCATCCTGGCCGGCACCTGTACCGCTCGGCCGGCACCTGCCCGCCCGGCTCCAGCGTCCCGATAAGCCTCTGTGGGACGCCGGCGCTGTGCCTCCGGGCGCCGTGCGGCCGATTGGCTTGATAAGGCACAGAGCTCCCTGGGCTGGGAGAGCCACCCGG